GCACAGACGTGTACCTACAGTGCTCCCCTCACTACAGTGAGACCTGGGCACAGACGTGTACCTACAGTGCTCCCTCACTACAGTGAGACCTGGGCACAGACGTGTACCTACAGTACCCCCCTCACTACAGTGAGACCTGGGCACAGACGTGTACCTACAGTGCCCCCTCACTACAGTGAGACCTGGGCACAGACGTGTACCTACAGTGTCCCCTCACTACAGTGAGACCTGGGCACAGATGTGTACCTACAGTGTCCCCTCACTACAGTGAGACCTGGGCACAGACGTGTACCTACAGTGCCCCCTCACTGCTGTGAGACCTGGGCACAGACGTGTACCTACAGTGTCCCCTCACTACGGTGAGATGCTGGGCATGCCGCTCATCCTCTCTGAACCTCAGTGACAATAACAATTCTTCCCTTATATGACTGCTGTGAGGATTAAACAAACCAGTATTTTTAGAGCATTCAGAAAAGTCCCTGGCAATGGTAAACATCATCTGACAGTGTGTTAAGTAAAATAAACAAACGTGGGGTTCTTCAGACAAGCCTAGCAACTGCTGCCCCGCACCCCCTCAGCATTTCTGTTGGAAAAGCGTTTCATTTACTTTGTAGATTAGTGCTCCATCTAAAAAATCAACTTTGAAAGGGCTGAAAACCACTGCCCACACAGGCAGGAGTGATCTCCCTCCCTGGGGTTAGTTTTGTCCACTGAATCACAAGAACTCTGTGCAGAGGCCTCAAGGGGTCTGTCAGCTTATGGGGGAAAAATTACATCTTTGTTTTCACAAACTCTAACTGAAGTCTAACATTTCCATTATTGTGAGGGAACACAATAAACCATCAGAGAATTAATGTTACCTGTGTGCTGTGCCTGGCAGAAAGCTATTACACTCATGTAAAATCTTTCTTATTTATCCCTACTTTGAAATTATGGTAATCAGACATACTGCTAGATCTTGTTACTTAATGCATCAATAAAGCAGAACTTACATTGCACATTCACTTAGTATTTTAGCAGCTGAATTTCAATATTATTAGTTTCCTTTGCCGTCCTACTTTATTTTCCACACTTAAAATATAATTGAGGGGGGCAGTGTTGTGTAGAGGGTAAAACCACTGCCCGCAACACTGACATCCCATGTGGGTCCGAGTCCTGGCTGCTCCACTTCCCATCTAGCTCCCTGCTAATCACCTGAGAAAGAAGCAGCAGGTGGCCCAAGGCCTTGAGTCCCTGCCACCCACATGGGAGACCGGGAAGCAGCTGTGGCTCCTGGTTTTGGTCTGGCTCAGCCCTGGCTGTTGCAGCCATTTGGGGAATGAACTGGCAGACAGAATATCTTTCTTTTCTCTTTCTCCCTGTCTTTCAAAATAAAATAAGTCTTAAAAAACAAAAATAAGGCCGGCACCGCAGCTCACTAGGCTAATCCTCTGCCTTGTGGCGCCGGCACACCGGGTTCTAGTCCCGGTCGCTCCTCTTCCAGTCCAGCTCTCTGCTGTGGCCCGGGAGGGCAGTGGAGGATGGCCCAAGTGCTTGGGCCCTGCACCCCATGGGAGACCAGGATAAGTACCTGGCTCCTGCCATCGGATCAGCGCGGTGCGCCGGCGCAGTGTGCCAGCCGCGGCAGCCATTGGAGGGTGAACCAACAGCAAAGGAAGACCTTTCTCTCTCTCACTGTCCACTCTGCCTGTCAATAAATAAATAAATAAAAACATAATTCTGAGGCTTCACCACTCCCAAAGGGGTCTATGGCAATAAAAGGGTCTGACCCCGGCCCCAGACTCTCATTCTAAGGCTCACACAATGTAGCCAATATGCTGGCCAGGGGTTCCTGGCTACCTGTATGTTAGATTCTCTTACACAGAAAGTTTGTGTGACAAAAAACACAAAAACTAAGCTTTCTAGTTTATCTTGAATCCATTCAGATCCTTTCCCATAAAGTTAATCTGGTCCCCACAGATCACTCTTGTCAGTCAAGTCCTCTTCCCTTGCCATCACTTTGGTACTTATTCCTCCAATTATTCTGCACATATCTGCCATCTGTGTCTCTGCAACTAAACACCAAACTCATCATGAGCAGAGGCCTGCTTGATGACTGCTCACAGTCTCCAGCACAGACCTGGCCCCACGGTTGTGAGGGCCCGTAACTGCTGGGGACAACACCACCAACAGGGGGAGCTGAGACACAAGAGGAGCTTCAAACTCAAGGCCTCCTTACACCCCGGCCCAGCCTCCCCTGTGGCCTCCCTGCACCTCGGAAGAGCCCGGCTCCTCCTCAGCAGAGGGATGGACTCACCCACCACCAGCTCCCGAACATCCTTCCAGTGCAGCTCACTCCCCTTCTCATGGATGATGGTCACTGTGATCCTCCTCTGGATGCCCTGGGTAATGGAGCAGGATTGCAGTTCAGTGGGACAACCCATTACTTCCTCTTGCTGGCTGTTTTCTGGATTGCTTGGTGTGGGGATGAGCAGGAAGGAAGGTACAGGGGGAGGTGTTGCCCACACCTTAATTCTAAACAAAAGGGCTGAGGAATAACTGGAGTCTGGTACAGTTTCAAGACAGATCCCATGATTGAATATTCCCAAGTACAGGATCCCCAGCTCCATGTCCACTGGGACAGAAGCCTTTTTGAGCAATGACGGAATCTACTTTTGATTTACCCAACAGGGGACCTACACTTACTTCAAAATCGGATTTTTAGCCCAGTGAGCAATCATCCTCTACTCTCATTAACAATTTTTGTCTGTGAAAGCAAGGAAGTTCCAAAAACCAGGAAAAATGTAAAAATAACAGTAATTAAATGAAATAAATCCTTTTAATATAGTTATTCTAAAATATTTTTAAATACAAAAGCAAGGGTAGACCTAAGCCAAGGTCTGAGGAAGAAACATTAAAAAACAAACATACAGGGGCAGCTGTTGTGGCACAGTGGGTTAAACTACCGCTTGGGATGTCCACGTCCCGGATCCGAGTGCCTGGTTGAGTCTGGACTACTACATGCTTCTGATCCAGCTCCTTGCTTATATACCCGGGAGGCAGCAGATAACTCCCTAAGTGCTTGGGCTTGGGTTTCTGCCCATGTGGAAGACTCTGATGGGGAAGTTCCTGGATCCAGGCTTCAACCTGGACTAGCCCTGGCTATTGCAGATATTTATGGAGTGAACCAGCAGATAGGAGCTTTCTCTCTCTCTCTCTCTCTCTCTCTTTCTCCATGTCCTCCCCTTCTCTCTCCATCACTTTGTCTTTCAAATAAATAAATAAGCTAAAAGCAAACAAAAGCCTGAACATATAAAGGAAGGGGGGCAAGACCATGCCCCTGGCCTCCCGCCCCCATCCCTGAAACAGAGCTGAAAAGCAGAGTTATTTTTCTTATTCTAAACTCTTATTGGTGCTCCCTCCTATGCCCTACTTTGTTCCCAAATCAGTACCTGGTGAAGCAAAAATGTCCCCTGGCAGGGCAAGCCTGCGGTGTGGTCAACCACAGCTGGGATGTACCTATAAAAACAGAGATGCAAAAGAAAGAAGTAAGTGCTCCTTTATCAGCAAGGTCATTCCTGGCTCTGCAGTCCAGTGCTCTGTTTCTCTGAACTCCGACCTCATGCCTTCCTCTTGCAGGCTGGCGTTTAACCGTAGTTATTTGCCTTCTCCACAAGTCCACACCCATCATCCTTACTAGACTGACACACTCAGAACAGGTAACATCTTTCAGTTTCACCCTAGCTCCTGCTGTAAATATTACTCAATAAGTAACATTTAACTACAGTGGCAATTAAAAGGAGATAAAAACAGATAATTTCAGATTCTAGACATTTTTTAAAGATCCAGAAAGCAATTAATTCAGCAGAAACCTGCTGCTCCCCTGTAATAGAAGTTATAATCTTATTATAGATTTGTCAAATTCCTAAAAGCAATGTCACTACTGACAACTACACATGTACACAGGGGACACACAGATCCACCCTCTAGCAAGGCAGGCCCTTAGTAACGGCTCTGATGGGGGCTCACAGTGTTGCACACAGAGGAACCTTGGGATGACATTTATCTCCTAGCCTTTACATAACTGATGCAGCGCCTTGCTTGTTTCAGGAATAGAATCTCTTTTATTTTTCTCCAAAAGCATTTTAAAGATGACTACAAACAATATCCCTATTATTCATTACTATAATAACAGAACTTATAGACAGGAAGTAAGCTGATGTTGATTACTCTGATCTAGAACAGTGTTCTTGACTGGTGGTGATTCTGACCCCTAGAGGACATCTGGCAATGTCTGGAGGCATCTGTGGTTGTCGCATCTGGAGGTACTACTGGCATCCTGTGAGCAAAACAGCCTACAAAGCACACAACAGCCTCCACCAGCCCAACAAAGAATTATCTGGCTCAAGATAGGGGACTGTTCTGCCTCCCACCTCCTCCCTGAGATTAGTAGTGAAGTCTGGACTCTGTTCTGTGCAATAGTTTCCCTCTGCTCTGCTTCTGATAAAACCCACCACACAGGTCGTCTTCCCTTGGGATGAAATACAGTATGATCTTACTGTTGCTAACAAGAGAACAAATTATTACACTGGCTAGTCTGTTCTTTGACAAACATCTAATTTAAAGAAAAATACGAAGCTCACCACAATTGAATTTAAAACTGGAATATGACATTGAAATGATTCATGAAACCAAAATACAAGAAGAGAGACTCAATATTATATTCTCTAATGTGAATCACCTTGGCTTATTTAAAAATTTGGAGAGGCCGGCAATGGTGCCACAGTGGGTTCAGTGCTGCCGCGATGCCAGTTTCCCAGATCATATCAGAGTGCCAGTTTGGATCCCAGTTGTTCCACTTCCAATCCAGCCCGGTAAATGAGCCTGGGAAAGCAGCAGCAGATGGTCCAAGTGCTCGAGCCCCTATCACCCATGTGGGAGACCAGGATGGAGTTCCTTGGCTTCTGGCTTCAGCCTGGCCCAGTCCCAGTTATCGTGGCCTTTTGGGAATGACCCAATGGATGGAAGATTGATGGATCTCTCTTTCTCTTTCTCTCTGTCACAGGCAGAGTGACAGAGGAGAGACAGATCTTTCATCTGCCGGTTCACCTCCCAAATGGCTGCAATGGCTGGGACAAGGCCACGCCGAAGCCAGGAGCCAGGAGCTTCTTCCGGGTCTCCCACATGGGTGACAGGGCCCCAAGGACTTGGGCTCTCCTGTGCTGCTTTCTCAGGCACATTAGTAGGGAGCTGGATCAGAAGTGGAGCAGCCAGGACTTGAACCGGCTCTCATATGGGATGCTAGGACTGCAGGCCATGGTTGTAACCAGCTGTGCCATGGTGTCAGCCCCAATAAATCTTTTTAAAAAATAAATAAAAATTTAGAAAGTTGGACTTACTCTCCTGTAGGCTCCAGTTCACTGATCTCGAACCAAACCAGAAGATCATACTTGCTCATGCTCTGGCCAAGGCTGGTTTTGCTCATGGTGTTTAACTTGGTAGCTGGAACTTTTAAAGTTTGTAGAAAATGTCAAAATCTGGTCCAAAAATATTCAGCAAAAGCTTAAGTTTTCTAATGTCAATATTCAAGAACACATTTTAGAAAAATAGCAAGAGTCAGGGGATGGCTTTCAATGCAAGAGACACAGAGAAACTTCAGTATCAACTTCACTAGTACCTCTGAATTCAGAAAAAAGAAAAATTGACAGTAAGTTGCTTTTTCCCTCTCAACAAACTGTGTCCAAAGATGAGAACACAGGATGTGCTCACAAAACCATTAAAAAAACTGTCCCATCCTAGAATCTTAGTCTGTGGCACAGAATCACATCCTAGTGATAAGGAAGAGGCCACACGGTCACAGCTCAAAGTAGGGCGGTCCATGGAGACTTGTCTTTCACCCCTGGAGTTCCCAGACTTCCTTGCACGTAACAGTCACCTGGGGGTCTTAAAGATGGCAAAGTCCAGGCCATATTCCAGGTAATGAAATCACAAACTCAAGTGGTGGGGCACAGTTCTTCCTCTGTGAGGTTTGAAGCTTCCCAGGGGATTCCAAAATACAGACAACTTTGGGAACCAGTTGTCAAATTTATAAGCCCAAGATTCTGTAAATGATTTTATGGTACACACATTCTTCAGATTCAATGTATTAACTGCACTGATGCTATGGAAGCTTGCCTCCTCATTTACAAAATGCGAATCGTAACAGCCTGCTACCTTGAGGATCCACTAATACCACGTATATGATGGGCTGGTAAACATCTTCAAAATTAAAAATACTACTGCAAAGACTACAGGCAAATACACGAAGCCCCTCACCCTTAGGCTGATGTGAAAGAGGTCCAAGTAGAGGAATCTCTCTGAAGGAAATGCGATACAATCTTGACAGTGTGCTAAACTCTACATTCAGCTCAAGGAGCAAAAAGGTATGTTGGTGCTTCACACACAGTGAGCCAGGCCTTAGCACAAGCCCTGAGGCTGGTTCTACATCTAAGGCAGAGCTAATTTAGCTACTAACCATCTCGTTTGGGTACCCTCTCGCTGTGGCAGCTGGGAACTGGCAGAAAGAGAAAAGGCGGCAATGGGTCAGCCTCATTCTGGAAGGCGGCCACGGCGGAGGATGCAAGCACGCTGGCGTGCTCGGAAAATGTGTCCAACACATGCACATTCACATAGCCAGACATGAGAAACCGAATCAGCTCAATCTTTCTTTCATGGTCTGAAGGCAGATGAGGTGAGGAATCAGAGGGTGGAAAACGAGCACAGGGTGGGGTAGGAATTTGGCAAGTGGGCCACGAGGAAAAGGGGTAGAAATAAACAAAGAGAAATCAAAACAAGATAATTGAGGAGGAACAAGTCTGGTGTTCTACTGTACAGCAGTGTGATTATAGTCAACAGCAGTAATGTGTTATGTCCATCAAAGTAGCTGGAAGAGAGTATTCTGAATGTTCTCTCCACAAAGAAATGGTAACTGTTCAAGGTGAAGGATACGCTGGTCCCTTCATATAGACATACATGTATTACCCAGTGTACACAGGTATAAAAACACCATACTCTATCTCATAAATATGTACAACTGTGATGTGTTCATCACAAAAAAAGCAAAACAAAACAAAACAAAAACAAACTTGGGCCAGTGTTGTGGCGTAGCAGGTTAAGCCATCAACCTGTGATGTTGGCATCCTACACTGGAGCACTGGTTCAAAGTCCTGGCTACTCTGCTTCCAATCTAGCCCTCCGTTAATGTACTGGGAAAGCAGTGTAAGACGGCCCAAGTACTCGGGCTCCTGCCACCCATGTGGCAGAGCCAGATGGAGTTCCAAGCTCCTGGCTTTGGCCTGGCCCAGCCCAGCCATTGTGTCCATTTAGGGAGTGAGCCAATGGATGGAGGTTCATTCGTTTTCTCTCTCTCTCTCTCACTATGCCTTTCAAGTAAATAAATAAATCTTAAAAAAAGAAATTAAGAAAAACAAAATAAAATTTAAAGATAATTGAACATGCTGAATAAATACAATATGCAAAGAAATGCCTTGTCACCTAACAGCTACAGGGAGTTAAACACAAAGCAGAGATTTTGTAACCCAGAGATTATCAAAATCTGCAATTAGAAGACCAGAGAACTGGCAGACAGAGCCCTATTGTTTCTTACTTAATTTAAACCAGGAATTGAGACTTCTAGTTTCATCTGATATATTCAATAGGTACAGGAATATAAGGAGTCTTCAAAAAGTTTGTGGAAATATGTACTAGAAGAGAACTGCATGGATTTCAAAATTTCTGGTACCAAAGTAAATATATTTATTAAATTATGAATTTTTTTTCACTTTTATTTATTTGAAAGGCAGAAACAGACAAAAAGAGACAAACAAAGAGAGATCTTCCATCTGCTGACTGAGTTCCAGTTGGGCAAAGCCAAAGCCGAGAGACCAGAAGTCCTCTACGTGGGTGGAAGGGACCAGAGCACTTGAGTCAACACTGCTGCTGTCCAGGATATGCACTAGCAGGAACTGGAGTTAGAAGTGGAGCCTGGGGCTGGCGCCGTGGCTTACTTGGCTAATCCTCTGCCTGCGGCGCTGGCATCCCATATGGGCATCAGGTCTAGTCCCGGTTGCTCTTCTTCCAGTCCAGCTCTCTGCTGTGGCCCGGGAGCGCAGTGGAGGATGGCCCAGGTGCTTGGGTCCCTGAACCCCCATGGGAAACCAGGAAGAAGCACCTGGGTCCTGGCTTCGGATCGGCACAACGCCAGCCATAGCGGCCATTTAGGGAGTGAACCAAGGGAAGGAAGACCTTTCTCTCTGTCTCTCTCTCTCTCTCTCTCACTGTCTATAACTCTACCTGGCAAATAAAAAAAAAAAGAAAAAGAAAAAGAAAAAATAAGTGGAGCCAGGATTTAAACCCAGAAGTACTCCAACCATGGTGCCAAACACTAACACCTTTTAGAATCTCAGTCTTGGGCCTATATTGTGGTGTAGTGGGTTAAGCCTCTCATTCCATGTAGGCACTGATTCGTGTCCCAGATGCCCCACTTTTGATCCAGCTTCTGCTAATGGCCGGGAAAAGCAGTGGAAGATGGCCCAAGTGGGCCTCTGTCTCCCACATGGGAGAATCAGAGGAAGCTCCCAGCTCCTGGCTTTGGCTTGGCCCAGCGCTGGCCAGGGAAGACATCTTGGGAGTGAACCACTGGATGGAATATTTCTCTGTCTTTCCTTCTCTCTGACTTTCAAAACAAATAAATTAATCTTTAAAAAAAAACCCTCAGTGTTATTGGCATTTATTTTTTATTTATTTATTTACTTCTTTGAGAACCAGAGGGACAGAAACAGAGACAGGGAGAGAACACTCCCATCTGCTGATTTACTCCCCAAATGCCTGCAATAGCCCTTGGCTGGGGAAGGAAGGCAGGAGCCCAAGGAACTCAATCCAGGTATCTCACGTCCGTGTTGGAACACAACACCTGATGCATCACCACTGCCTCCCTGCCCTGCACCAGCAGGAAGCTGAAGTCAAGGGCTGGAGGCAGAATTCAAACCCAGGCACGCCAACATGGGATGCAGGCACCTTAACCTCTAGGCCAAATGATTACCCCGAACCTGATCTTTTTATTCCATTTTCCACGAACTTTCTGAAGCACCCCATACATAGGCTATACAGAAAAGGAGTAGGAGTTCAAATATGATTTTTATCTGAAAGTCACTCATAGTTAGAGATGTGACAACACAGAGAATATCGTGCAAAGGATGCAGTTAGTGCTTACCTGGCTTGGAGAGTGGCATTGGCGGAGGGAAGAATCGTCGCGATGGCTGAGGAGGGCTACAGAAAAAGGAAGAGAATTTTCTCAGCACACAAAAGTCAGATGTTGATGTGAAAGGGAAGCTTAAACTGCCTTTAAGGAGGGAGATTTTATGCATTTTTAACTCGTGAATAATATCAGACACTAAACACAATCCCACAAAATTAAACAGGCTCAAATATTTTGATATAACTCCCCTTATAAATTTTAACTAATAAGGAAATTCTTTTTTTTAAAGATTTATTTTATTTATTTGAAAGGCAAAGTTATAGAGAGAGGTAGAGAGAGAGGGAGAGAGGGAGAGAGGGAGAGGGGGAGAGAGAGAAGGGGAGAGAGAGAGAGAGAGAGAGAGAGATGTCTTCCATTCGCTGGTTCACTCCCCAAATGGCTGCAAAGGCTGGAGCTGAGCGAATCTGAAACTGGGAGCCAGCAGCTTCTTCCAGGTCTCCCATGTGGGTGCAGGGGCCAAAAGACCTGGCTGTCCTCTGCTGCTTTCCAGGTGCATTAACAGGGAGCTAGATCAGAACTGGAGCAGCTGGGACTCTAACTGGCACCCATATGGGATGCTGGCACTGTAGGCCAGGGCTTTAACCTGCTTTGTCACAATGCTGGCCCATAAAATTTTTATTAACCCTTCCATCGTCAAAAAGTCTCCGGGGCCAGTGTTGTGGTGTAGCAGGTAAAGCTGCTACCTGCTACACTGGCATCCCATATGGGCGCAGGTTCAACTCCCAGCCTCTCTACTTCTGATCCAGCTGTGCCTGGGAATGCAGAGGAAGATGGCTCAAGTCTCTAGGCCCCTGCCATTCACATGTGACACCTGAAGAAGATCCTGGTTCCTGGCTTCTGCCTGGCCCTGTTCTGACCATTAAGGCCATCTGGGGAGTGAACGAGCAGATGGAAGATCTCTCTGTCTCTCCTCTTTCTCTGCACCTCTTTCAAATAAATAAATAAATAAATAAATCTCTTTTTAAAAAGTCTCCATTGTTGTACTTGTTTATTTATTTATATTTTATAATTTATTTAAAAGGCACAGAGATGGAAAGAGAGATTTTCCGTCCACTGGTTCACTTCCCAAATGCTCACAACAGCTGGGCCAGGGCCAGGCTGAAGCCAGGAACCTGAACTCCATCTGCATTTCCCAAGTACTCCCGGGCTGCACATAGCAGGAAGCTGGAGCCAGGAGCAGAGCAGCACAGGATGTGGGTTGCCAAGCGGCATCTTGATCACTATGCCAAACGCCCAGCCATCCTCCTCAGTGTCGATGACTCCACTTGGAGCTTCTCAACCTTGTGGGTCGTTAGCAACAACTACACAAATTTCCACGGTATATCCATATGACCTCAACTTTCTACCCTAGTCAGTCTCTTCCTACGAAAAGATGGCCTTAAAGGTCACTTGGTTAGGTGGCTAGGAAAAGGTGATGAAGTTTCTAAAGAGGAAATAGAGGGTAAGACATAAAACTGTCACTAAGTTCTATTAATCCTCAAAGACTCTTCCTTTCCAGAAATTGAGGAGTTAAAAATCAACAGCAACAACACAAATCTTTGCTCATCTGGTCCAAACCTGTTAAGGTCCTGTCCTTGCAGATGAAGTGGGTGCTGCTGATAATGCCCAAAGACTTCAAATACAATAGGCTTGGTTTTGATATAGTCCACAAACGATTCGGTGACCTCCACTGCAATCTAAGGGGAAAGCCAAACAAGACTAATAGAAGACTTCCAGGAGAACATACACATCTTTGTTTCCGCCATAACTTGAGCACTACTGACTGCCAATCTGTGCTGGGCATTTCCCACGCAGACCTCCTGCACCGCAAGGCCGAGGCTCCCCTCTGGAGCCCTTTTAGAGGAACTCCGCCTGACCGCGAGCCTGTAAGACCCTCCACCACTGGCCCCAGCGACCTAGGCCTCTGCTACCCTTCACTTTCTGTTTTCACTCAGCACACCTGCTGCTCCTTCCACCTGCTCTTTCTTTTGTTTGGCCTGAGGACTGCCCCAGGCTGTAGTCCAGCCTGGAAGGCCCTTCCAGGATTCCGTCTGTGCATCTAAGTCGTCCCTATACTTCAGGCCCAGCTCAGATTGGCACAGCAGTAAGGAAAGCAGGTACTGACTGTGGACTATGTGCCAGGCACAATGCCAGGTGCAATCCACCTCTTCTTACCAACACCACATCCTTCAGAGAGCTCCCACCTCCTCTACCCCCGCAGAACAATTGACTTAACAATCTCTTTCCATGTGGAGGTAACTTTCTCTCTCCACTCCCTCCCACTGAGTCCAATGAGTCCTCATGTCTCTCTCCTGTGCTATGTTGTTTACACTTGGATTTTATTTCCCCGTCATAATTCTAAGCTCCTTGGGGGCATCTGTGAGTCACTGGTATTCCCCATGTGTCAAAGCAGTTGGTGAGCATTTACCAGGGAGGTGCAAGCTCATATCATCCACCATAAAAAATGCCAAGAGTGTATTTTGTGTCTGTCTGTCCTTTCATCTCTTACTTTTTGCAGGAAGCATGGACAGCAGACAATGAGCGACAGTTTCACAGAGTAATGAAATCCTGGACAGCAGAGCCCTCTCTCTCCGGGTTCTAATCCCATCTCTGCCTCTTTCTTAGCTCTGTAACTTGGGGGTAACTTTAACTGCACCATGCCTCAGTTATCTCAGCTGTAACACAGTGATTAGCATGGTCTATAGTATAAAGTTAAGCAATAAATTACATACAAAATACTCAGAACAATGACCGACACAAAATAAACTCTCAAGGAATGTTAGCTACTGTGATAAGAATGATGACTTCTGAATCGAGTTTGAGTGAAATGCCATGTGAGATAGAAGGTCTGTTTTCTTACTCCAGGGATGAGGACAATTGGAAGGGGCATTAATAAGCTAATTACAACATCACCTGTTAGAAAACAGACTCCATTGCCACAGAAGGTATTTACTATCTTACACATTATTTGCAAACTGACACTTAAATATTTGAGGGCTTAAAAGACAGTGCATTAATTTGATAAAGCTCATATCAAACATACTTATTTTAAACAGAAACATTAAAACCAGTCACTACACTTAAGCTGATGAAAGGTTTTATTGGCAGACCCACAGGGACACCACTCACTGGGCCACTGTCATTCAGATGAGAAGGCTGGCGGCTCCACTCACCAAGGATTACCTCACTGCTCTGGCCACTCCCTCTATTGTCCATTCTTGCCCTGAGCTCCCCCAGCACAGCAAGTGTCGGGCCCTCACAGTATCTAACCTCCTTACTCACACTGAGAGCTGTCACCACAGACCCTGACAGGTTTGGCGAAAACGTCCATGTCACTTACATTCTGCACGTGATAAAAGCCCAAGGGACTTCCTCTGCCATTGTTTTTGAGGGGTTCAGTGGAGAACGCTTCATCATGACGATGTAAAAAGCTTTATAAAAAAAACAGACATGAGAACAACATTAAATGGTTTCATCAGATCTCTGCTTTCAGATCCCAACGTGGTTCCTATGGAAACGGGCATCCTCCTCAAGCTTCAAGCAGATTCATCCACTGAGCTGTTACCTACATGTCCTTGTCAAGAACATTTTCGATGAACTTTTGAAGACCTTTCCTATCCATTAGAAGGACCCTCCCCTCAAAGACATAAGGGAAAAAGAACGAAACCACCAGCAGCATGAACTCTGTCTTCCAAGTGAGTTCACGCAGTCTAGAACAGTGCAAACTTGCACCAAACACCAAATCTCTGATGCCACGCACCGCTGGTGCTGCGGAACTCGGCACCACATGTGTTCTGTTCCATTTTCTTTCTTCTCACTTCTCCTTGTCAGTGACTCTCCCTTCCTCACACACCTGCCTCCTTTCTACTCTGCCACTGGGGTGACACAGCAACTCGGGCACATTGCTCCTACAGTCGTATTTTCCCTACACAGGCTAGATGCGGAGTTACGCAAATCTAAGAGGAAGATGTTTAAAGTCTATTGAGAGAGAGCGAGGGAGAGAGAAAGAGCTCCCGTCTGCTGGTTTACTCTCCAGATGCCCCCACTGGCCAGCACTGGGCTGTGCTGAAGCCAGAAACTGGGAACTCGGTCCAGGTGTATCACATGGGGGACAAGAACCCAATTGCTGGAGCCATCACCACTGTCTTCCACAGTGTACATCAGCAGGAGCTGGAGGTAACGAACTTGGGCACTGTGATACGGGATGTGGGTGTCTTAACCAGCGTCACAGCTGCTAGGCCAAATACCTGCTCCCCTTCTGAAGATTCTGAGTGTTTGTGTAACTTAGGTCCACACATGCCCTTTCCTTCAAGTCTAACACCAGGTGGGGATGTTGTTTCCAGGAGATTTTAGAATAAAGGTCAACTTATTGTTGTTAGACATCAGTTAGGCAAATAGGACTTTTTAATAATTAAATGCCTGAGTACAATGGAGAAAATTCCAAAAAAGGAATTTACTTAGCCAACTCCATCCTGTCCTAAATTTTAGGTTGCTAGCAAAAACACACTAAATAGAGGAATCACTACTGACAGGTAATATTTCAACAAGCACGAGTTATAACAAATGGGATTAGTGCTGTACTGTGTAGAGATCACATTTAATTCAGGACTTGGCTAAAAGTTGATTCAAAGCAATCTTTGTAAACCACATTAGGATCCCCAGGAAGGCCAAGGCACAGGAAGAGACAGGGAAGGCAGGACGCCTGTGGGTGGCTCCAGGGGTAAACTGCAGGCTTTAGCATTGAAAAAAACATTCTGAGATGTGAGGATATTCAACCTAAAGACCCCACAGAAAGCCATTCCTGGGAGGCTTCAGAAGAAAGCACCCAGATGAGAGGACTCACAGGGGTCAGAGCAGCAGCAGCTTCAGAGGGGGCATGAGAAATGAGACCGGCCACACCTTCTCTACACCAGCTTTCTTTAGCTGGTACAGAACTTACTCTTTAGACTCACCTTTTCCCAAGTATGAAATAGAGCTAACTGATGTCAAGTAATTCATTGCTTTTAGACTTATTTATTAGTAAGACACTTCCACATGTCTTTCTTTTAGAGCACTAAAAAAGACGACTACACAGGCTTATCAGGCTGAGACCCCTGTTCCTGCAGAAAGGGCAAGTCCATAGCACAGCCCCTAGCAGGATGCCTGCACGCTCCCCCTAGGACCCTCTTTCACCCCAGTGTCGTTTCTGGTTCTTACTCCAGCCACGAGAGAAGAAAGCATTTTCCACCGGGAATGGGAGGCCACCATCCCCAGGAGCACTAGGATCTCGCTGTACAAAGCACTGGGTAGCAGCTGGCTGGGCGGGGCAGAGCACGGGAGTAACTCACTTGAACTGACAGAAGATGTCTGCATACTCTGGGAGGATCCCACTGGCCTGCAGCACAGTCACTCGGAAAGTGAAGGCACTGCCCGGTTTCAGGTGGTTGCCTATTTCTTCCGAAAATCCTTCCATTACCATCTTACCATCCAGCAAAGTGCCTGACTTCAAATCTAAACAGGGGCAAACGACACACAAATGGTTCAAGTAATGCAAACAGGAGAGGTGAGCATTCTTTCCACTCCCAGCTGATAAAACCACCACGTCCCCTGACAATGGTCACTATTTCCCCATTTGAAGGTACCCTGATCACAGTGAACTCTGTCTACACACCCAAGTCATTCATTCGATTGATTTCTTCTGGAGGAGTGATGACCTCAGAGCTCTGACCTTGCCCTTCCACAATCCTCAGCTCCTCCAAGGACAGACCTGAACGAGTCATTGCCACAGAAGAAAAGTCACTCTGAAAACAAGGCAGGGTAGGCACGTGAGAAAACAGAGCACAGACGTCGTTCCCCCAGCTTCCTTACTGCTGTGTATTTGTCCAAGAGATAATAGTGACTGGAAAATTATGCAAAATAAGAGCTGTCTGGGAAAAGGCAGTACAGTAAGACATAAAGGCTGGGTCTTCACCATTGTAACTGGTAGGCCTGCCTCTACTCTACTCTAAACTGGTACTGTGGTTACCAGTTTCCTGTATTTTTAAAAATTCTAGGCCAGAGAACTGGTCTTCAGTGCTGAATACATTCCTTATAAACCCAAATGCTACTCTTTGCATAAAGTTTTCTTTCCTCCTGAATATCTCTCACCTGATTAAAGTCCTCGTTATCGAAAGATATCTTAGCAGTTCCCGACTGTCGGATTCCCGAGCCATAATCAGGAGCTTCTTCATCCGCTAAGCAGAAAAAAAACACAAGAACCAAATGAGACCACATGATTCTTACTGGGTTACAAAATTCACACAAAAGTATTTTTGCCTAAGAAAAAAATGGCAACTCAAGTGGCTTTACCAACCTCCTTAGCTCAAATGAGAATTACTCGTGAGGTTATTTAGACGTCATACCAAGATATACTGACCCACTCGCCCCTTCCTTGGCAAGATTACATTCAATAACACACAACAAATATTTGAACATATTGTACTGGACTTGTGGAAGAGACCTCCATAAACTCAAGTGTAGTGACTGTCACAGGTTTCCATGGAAAAAGGCCAAAACAGTCACTCAATGTACAGCACAGTGTTTGAAAGGAGAGGAAAATCATAGCAAATGGCCACATTTTTTGATCCTCGGAAGAAAGGCTGGATCATGCAAAAGTAGAAAATACCAGAATTTTTATCTATGCATTACAAAATAGTAGTTTAAAAAAAAGTGAAAAAGTAGGCAGGAAAAGGTCCTGAAAAATCTCTTTTTTACTTCCAAAGCAGTTAAAATGCCAATGTCAATGCCAAGTCAATCCAAGAGTTTTCTTCATCTGCAAGGCAGTCTCTTTACCCACTAGTCCAAAATGGCAGAAGCCAAACTAAACAGACTGTCTACGATCACTGGGAAGAACAGCTGCACCAGAAGCATTAATGGCCTCCCTCACGCCAGATGAACCTGCCACCAAGTGTAGTCTACTGAGGTATGGCTGACACAGAACAGACCTGCTTGGCTCTAGGCAAGAACCCACGACTCTCATTTCAGAAGGTGACCTACCTGCAATGGCCTGTACAGCCACGCGCAGAAACCCCCGAACTTCACCCTTCTCACTGACGATGGCCACCCTATGAATCAGCGGCACAGGATACAGCAGATTGCTCAGGTACACAAACGCCCTGGGGACAGAAACCAGGAGACCACCATCAGAGCTTCCAGAGAGAAGCTGGCTTTCAGTTGCACTAAGAACATTCTGAAACTGAGCTGACTTCTGGGCCCTGAGATCACTCTTGGTTCTGTCCTCAAACTGTCTCCAGCTGCTTTTGTAGCACAGGTAATAGATAAACACAAATCTTTGGCAAAGTAGTTGACAAAGACCAACTTACACCAAATGACTCTATATGAACTACTACTGTAGGTAGAAGAGTAACAATTGGAAGTAGACTCTCAAGGTAATGTGCTATGACAACTGCTGCTGCTGCTGTTGGGGAGCCCATTATAAATGGGCTATAAAAGCCTATAAATGTAGATTTTATAAAGAAGTTCTGTTTTGTTTTTCCCAACAGAGAAAACAGAAATCAGGAGACAAAGGCAGGGAATGTGACTGACATACAATTAATAATTCTAAAGTGGATTTCGCATCACAGCATTGTAGGTCTTTATTTTTACTCACAAGAAAGGACTATCATCTTCTGCTGTGGTGGCTAACAAGGTGAGGAGGGCAGAGGCTGTGCAGCCAGAATCTCTGAGTTGTGAGCTTAAAGGAGACTGGATGGTATCAAGATAAACAAGGGGGAGATGCCAGCTGATCCCTAAAGGGTTTGTTTTTGTTCTTAGAGTCTAAACCCTAATTCAGAAATGGATAAATGAAAGGTTAGGTCACAGATCTACCACAGAGTATTCTCATCAAACTAGCAAAGTCCTACTACATTAGCACTCTTTTATTTTCTTCTTTCATTATGTTGTAGCTACTGATTTTTTTAATCAACAAAAATTGGTGATCACTAAGCTTAAGAAGGTTCATTTTAACTGGTAAAAGGGAAATGGAATCTAGTTCCCACTGTTACTCCTGTCTTCCCACTTGGTATACGCTGATCTTTGAACGTAAGACAAAAGACAAAGAATAAACACTTGCATCAAGAAATCAAACATAGCTAACTGTGACACACACGCCTGCTGCTACTTTTCTTGCTCTGAAATCTACTTTAAAGCAAAGGCAGAAGAAAGATGGAGTGGATATAGGGATTTCAACTCAAAGAAATGAAAACAGTTCTGGTAACAGAGAAAACACATCACAGAAAAACAAATGTTAATAAAGCTTTTAGAGAATAAATGAACTATGAATGAAAATTACAATGAAAATAATTGCAAGCAAACATTAAATCAGATCAGGATGCCTACTTCCCTTTCAGTCTGCTCCAAAGCAGGCTAGGAGGCAATGCTAAGAAATGGAGGGTAATAGCTTTGTTGCACAAAAATTTTATAATGAAAATTCTTCCAAAAAGGATTGCAAACAAGACCATCAGACACCAACTAGCATACGGAGTTTAAAAGGCTAAGACTTTGGTGTAAGCCCGCACAGATGACCACTTTCCCCTTTTAACGGCATTCCAGCCCAATCTGCCCACCTTCAATGCCTGGGCCAGTAAAAGCCAGCACACATGTTCCCTGACCGCAATCCTCTCTGCACTCAATGGCCACCTCATGGCTTTGATTTTATGTCTTCAGGTCTTGTCTTAAATACCACCATCTCATGACAGACCCCCCCCCCCCCCGCCCCGCCGGTGACACAGGGATTTCAGCAGCTCATACAATCCTTTCATCATTGCTGTAATATGTTCTTATTCATTTGATTATTTATTTCTGTGTCACCCACCAGTCTGTAGGCAGGAACTGAGTCTGGTTTTGCTCACCAGTTTGCAGAGGACTTGGCATACTGTAACATACGCTGAATGAATATCCACGTACACAAGAAAACAAGGAAGTGATGTGTTCTCTATCTTTACACAGAAGTGGAAGACATTCCAGAAAAAACTGGGTTCTATCAGAGGCAACCAATAGTGAAGCCATACAGCTTTATGCTGACTTTTTCAAAGCCATACTCATGGTGGGTATTAACTACATGGAACAAGTTTAGATTCCTTAACTACACTTAATCTGTTATCTTAAAAGTAGCTTTTCAAAAGCAGAAGTATTGTTTTGGAAGGAAGCTTAGCATATTCACACACACTACAATGAGGTACCCTCTGAGCACAGGAAAAAAGAGAATTCCCTCTCTGTCTATGGCAAGGGTTGCTCCACCGTGGAAGCACTAAAGGTGTTACTGCAGATATCTCCTTCTGAGAGAAGAAAATTCTACAATTCTACAGCAGGACCACAGGCATTCACTCTGTGACTACACGATTACACCCTCACTGGACAGCTCCTTGTCATGTTATCAGAACAGAGTCCAGCCCCAAATCAAAGCTGTGTAAACGTTCTCTTTTAAAGCTTTTTAAACTGGCATTTTCCTAATGTGCACTTGTGAGTCCTGACACTCTGACCTAGCAGACTGAAGGAGAACAGGGATGAGGGGGAACATGTAAGGATGTATTAGCAGGAAAGTTCCGTGAAGTTACATCAAAAAGAGAAACAAACTTGTCAACATAAAGGTAAGAAAAATCAGCACAGTTATGGTGAGACTTACAGAAAGAACATCGGTTCAGATACTTAGGTCACAGAACAACCACCTTTTGCCCCCTTCAACCCAGAAGACTAGTTTAAATATTTTACATTTCATCCAAATTATGGTGGATGGTTCATAACATCCCAGCATGCCATGAAGAGAACAGCTAAAGGGACAAGCTCTTTTAAAGTTCATGTAAAGATTCACCGGAGGCAGCCACAGCCAAGAAGCCTAAAATGGAATTTCCTAAGAAACCAGACATTTTTATAGGCAAATTATATGTGCCAATAGGGGAAACCCAATCCACTGAATCACAAAAGCAGGAAAGAAGGTATTCCTCTTATACATACACTGACTAGTACAACTGGATAATGCTGCATTCTTTTGAATTTTCTTTGTGGAGAAGAAACATGGCCAAGGGCAAAAACGGAATACTATCCTTCATTTTACTGACTGCTATGGATTTCACTTCCTCCCCAGTCTTTCTTGCAAGGCAGAGTCCATTCTAGAACCTGGAAACTCAAATAAATGGAAAGACCAGTTCCTGAAGCAGCTCCCTGAAGTAGACTTAGTTTAATATAGCTCTTAGGACCTAAGAGCAGTTATGATTAAAATGAATAAGATTAGAATATATTTTTTTTTCTAAAAAATATTTATTTATTTATTTGAAAGGCAGAGTTACAGAGAGGCAGAGGCACAGAGAGAAAAGTCTTCCAATTGGGGGTTCACTTCCTGAAATGGCCACAACAGCCGGAGCTGGGCCAATCTGAAGCCAGGAGCCAGGAGCTTCTTCCAGGTCTCCCACACACGTAAAGGGGCCCAAGGACTTGGGCCTCTTCCACTGCTTTCCCAGGCCATAACAGAGAGCCAGATCAGAAGTGGAACTGCTGGGACTCGAACTGGCACCCATATGGGATGCCAGTACTGCAGGCGGCAGCTTTACATGCTACACCACAGAGTCGGCCTTGAATATATATATCTAAAGCCAGGTTATATTTCCATACTGAGGAGGATTTTGACTGCAGTGTTCCATACAACTGACTCAAAATATAAATGCTTCTGGGGCCAGCACTGTGGCATAGCAAATATGACTGAGGAGCCAGCATCCCATATGGGCACCAGTTCAAGCCCTGGCTGCTCCACTTCCCATCCAGCTCCCAGCTAATGTGCTTGGGAAGGCAGCAAATGATGGCCCAAGTGTTCAGACCCTGCACCCTTGTGGGAGACCCAGAGGAGGCTCCTGGTTTCAGCCTGCTATTATGGCCATTTGGGGAGTGAACCAGTGGATGGAAGATCTCTCTCTATCTCTCCTTCTAACTTTGACTTTCAAATAAATAAATAAATCTTAAACATCTATCTCTATCTATCGATAGATATCAATGCTTCTAAGCAGAAGTCCTAACTAGGATCTTCATTTTGCTAGTGTTGATGACAGATTCTTTTTCTCTCTAACTCTTCCTTTTACACTTGGGAACCCAAACAGGCCTCAGTTTAAGTTGCCTGTGCTAAGTGTCACAGCCGGCCCAGGATCCAAGGCTCTTCCCAACAATGAGGTCGGGGTGCTCTTTGTCGTCCTAAGCAAGAGAAGGCTGCCTGTTACTCTCTGGGCGACGGTGTAGAACATACTCCATTCGCTTTAGGAGCTGCTTGATGGGCACAAGAAACAAGTTTATGGTCAGAAACTTGCATAACTTCCAACCTCCTGAGAACAGGCTGGAAATGTGCCGAAGGACACAAACAGCCATAAATAAAGCGCTGTTTATTGTCCATTGTGTGTGTGTGTGTGTCTCAATTTTTAATAGAAACCAGTTTCTCTGAAATTCTAAACCTTTACTCCTGGCGATACACCTGTCGAAAACAATATCCATAGCTACATACTCATTTTATTCACAGAAACATCAAATTCTGAATGTCTTTTGCCATTATAAAACTCAGTCTGTACAGTATTATAACAAACAGTTATAACTGAGGCCTTAATTTCTACCAAAAAAACATTTTTCTCCCCCTTTCCATAAATGTGATCTTCTTTCACATTATTTATGAAGTTTCCCTTACCAGGTGACCAACACTATATTATGAGAATCTATGCCCCTACTGGGTCAGGGGACTTGGGGCACTTTAATTTTTAGATAACTGGTGCTCATCCAGGGAACACTGATATAATTCCTTTACTTTAAAAAGACAACAATATGTGGTTTCTAATGCACAATTAAATTTAATACTGTAAAACCCGGACATACTTTTTGGTTAATCCAGCAATCGCTCTACTGTTGAACTTGTAATTAAAATTACTTCAGCATGAAGACTGGATGCGGACAAAGACACCAGTATTTGGAACAGGGGCATGCAGAGTTCTGCTCACTGACAGATGGACACACAACTGAGAGCCAGACAATGCCTCAGTTTGGTGAACTAAGCTTAACACAAAGCAGTTCCATGGAGTGCTGAACAAGTATTCATTGTGGAGGAAATCAGCAGACGATTTTCTGAGATTCATTGTTATGAAGCCTATACGTAAAATTTCAGCAGAAGCCAAAGACTTACAGACATGCTTCGTGGGACCTGCCAGAGAAAGGCAGCCAGTTAAGACAAAGGGAGGCCTGGCTTTCCAGATTTTTCTTAGGTCTCAGCAGACTAAGCAAAATATAAACCCAACACTACTCCTGAGTCTTCTGTTGCCTGATTCAGGTAGTGTCACACACTCTGTAGCTAAACTTGGGCTTACTCTGCTTTCTCTCTCACGTTACCCCCACGTCTTTCTCGATCACATTCCTTTGGAGAGGAAACATCTAGACCACAGTACCATCACTGGACGCACTATGCTCAACTCTTAGCTTTAATTTCTCCTTTGGAGTTTCCACCTTTAGAACAAAATTACAGGGCAATTTAGGACACAGGGTCTTCCATGCAGTCTTCATTTATTGCTGGATGTTGTACTGAACGGACTGGGTGCCTCACACCAATGCCAGGTCAGCATTCACAAAGAGCTGAAACAAGATTATCGAAAATTGCATAAAGAGGCCTTTAGAGCAAGAGCTGGTCCCTTTTTGCCTTTCTCACAATAACCTCACCAACCTTCCCACTAATATGAACCAAGGGGACCGGTCGTAAAACGGGTCATGCCCATCACTGAAGAGATCTGAGCCCTCTTCCGTCCCTGCGTCAGAGCCGGTGTCATCCACGAATGCCTCATCATCAAAATCCTCCATCTCATCTTGCTGCTCGTCAGCCAGCTCAGTGATGTCGGAATCGGCCGTGGAAAAAGTAGGGGAGGGTGTGCGGTCGGCAAGGCGCTCATTCACACAGCCGTGGAAAATGGGGGAGCTAGACACCAGGTAAGACGCCGATTAACACAGCCAGGGAGAGAGGAATAGTTGGTTAAACAGGAAGCTACAGGTGCCAACAGGACAGAATTCACTGGGGAATCAACACAATAAAAGCAATTGGAAAAGCAAAAAGATAAAATAAGCATAATCATCTGAATCAGGTGAAAGGAATGAGGGCAGGCTGGAAAAAGTTATACAATAAGGGATCCTTCAAATAAGAGAAGTAGAGGAAACCCATGAGTAGACCATCCCAGGTAAATCTTACTCTATAAAACATTCAAATTCTCCAGCTCACACAAGAGGTCAGCATCCAGACCTCAAAGGGGAAATTCTCAACATTAATGCAAAAATAATAATGGTTTAAATCTTTATCCAAATTCTTCCATTATCTCAGAGAAGGAAAGAAAATCTAAGGGGGCTGCCATTGCGGCATAGCTTAAAAGCCGCTGCCTGCAACACTGGCATCCCTTATGGGTGCCAGTTTGAATTCTGGCTGCTCCACTTCTGATCCAGCTCCTTGCTAATGGCCTGGGAAAAGCAGCAGAGGATGACCCAAGTGTTTGGGCCCCTGGAACTCATGTGAGAGACCTGGATGGAGTTCCTGTCTTCAGCCTGGCCCAGCCCTGGCTGTTGTAAGCCATCTAAGGAGTGAACCAGCAGATGGAAGATCAATCTTCCTGTCTCTAACTCTGCCTTTCAAATAAATAAATAAATCATTTAAAAAAAAAAAGAACAGAAAAAGAAATGGATGAAATGGTGTATGCCAGAGCAGCATGTGCTTTGCTTGGATAAGACGTGGTTGGCCAATTCATCTTTTTAAAAAGATTAATCTGGGGCAGCACTGTGGCACAGCGGGTTAAGACGCTGCTTGGGACGTCCTCATCCCGTATCAGAATGCAGGTTAAGTCTCAGCTATTCTGCTTCCAACCCAGTTCCCTGTTGATGCACTTGGGAAGCAACAGATGATGGTTCAAGTGCTTGGGCCCTGCCACCAGTATGGGAAACAAGGATGGAGCTTTTGGCTCCAGGCTTTGGCCTGTCCTAGCCCTGGCTGTTGCAACCATTCAGGGAGTGAACTAGTGGATCAAAGATCTCTCTCTCTCTCTCTGAATCTTCATCTCTGTCACTCTGCCTTCCAAATACGTAAAAATCTTACCAAATAAATAATGAGCTGGTGTTGTGGCACAGCAGGTTAAGTTGCCACATGCAGTATCAGCATCCCATAATAGAAGGCTTGTTGGATCTCAAATGCTCCACTTCCAATCCAGCTCCCTGCTTACATGCCTGGGAAAGCAGCAGATCACGGCCCAAGTACCAGGGCCCCTGCCACCCACATGGGAGACAAGGATGGAGTTTCACGCTCCTGGCTTTGGACTGGCCTAGCCCCAGCCATTGGTGCTGTTTGGGAAGTGGACCAGTGGATGGAAGATTCTCTATCTGAATGGCATGAAAGACAGACTACATTTTCAACTATGACTTGGCAGCTTTTTTTTTTTTTCCAGTGAGCAGAATTAGATTTATAGAACATACTGCGAAAGAGCAGCTGACTCCTACTGCTGACTTCAGCAACTTCTTATTCACCCCCTTTAAAAAGGTTTTTGCAACTGAAATTTCCCTGAAATTGAGACTTTGGAAAAGTCTAAACCTCTGAGAACTTGACTCAATATAGACTCACAGAAACATTATTTGTTTTCACTCAATATTGAAAAACATTAAGTACATAAAACTGGCTCAAAAGGGTACCAACGTGATAATTAATTCACCCTTGGCAAGGATTAATGTGGCATAAATTGCCTTAAAAAATGGACAAATCAGATTACGGAAAGGTTGCAGTCTGGTAAGGCATGCTATCATTTTAATTTGCAAGACACAGACACAGGTTTTCTTTTTCTTCTAAATCTGTTTTGCACTCAACTACAAACCTTTTGTTTACGAATAAGGTCAGAGCCAGGGACACTGGTGGATACTCTGAAAGTCCGCGTCTCAGAACAAAATGCGTGTGGAGTGACATTAAAGGAAACTATGCCATATACAACACAATTTCGTGTATGTGGATTACACAGGAGATTCTTCACACTTTTTCTTATAACTTCCTATAATATCTGAGGTGTAAAATAATTAAAATAAAAGCATTCATTATTTAAAAGGAAGACCATCAACAAAATCATCACATACCTTCCCACAAGTTTGAACCAGTGGAACCGATCATAGAAAGGATCGCTGCCAGTCATAGCGGTTTCATTTTCGTCCTGGGCGTTAGAGGCCATCTCACCCGCCCTGTCATACATCTCTCGCATCAAATCCAGCCTCTGCCTATTCAGTAAGCACACAGCGCAACTGGTCAATATCAAGAAATTGCAATAAAATTTTGCTTTAGAGGTGTTTTCCATGCCCCCATCATTTAACATTGTGAGAAAAGAATGAAGGCCAGAAGTACAGCCTCCAAACACCCAGTACTGAGAGTATTTGGGTCTACAGAGAAGCCACTGAAAGCCAAGAATGGCCACCTAACCTCTCCTGAGTGGGCAGTCACAGGGCAGACGCAGTTCAATGGTGTGTGACATCTCAAAGACACCAACACGGTGGGAATTACCTCATCCAACTAAACGTACAGGAAGACAGAGTATAACTTCCTCCTCTATGGGGTCCAGGACAGAAAAGATGAATAATTTCTAGATCTGAGATAAAAATAAACATCACGGAATTGGAACATTTAAAATTAAAGAGGGTCTATGGAGGGTAAATTTAAATATCTACAAATGTCAAAGGGGCTTGAGGAAGGAGATACGTTCACTAAAACGCATGGATGAATGGCACGATCACTGGCCAGCAACAGTGATGTAGAAAGCAACAGCGTTCTCAGAGAGGAGAGCTCAAAGGAACCCACTTGAGCAATTCAGTATTATTTTCCCAATAAAACAGTCAGCTTTTACACATTTTCATACTTGAGTTTCTCCAAAGACCAATAGTGTGTTGCTCCGTTCTTCAGATCCTGGACTTCCACGGCCACCACTGTACGAGGGAAAGGCCTGTCCTCGTGAGTTTTTTCCATCTCAGTGGGCAGCAGCTCAGGAGGCAAAGGGGAGTACAGTGTGTCAGTCAGCAGGACAAACTGGAACTGCACCTGAGCCAAAGAATGAACCATCAGCGAACGGTGTCCAGCACGTGAGCTTGAGACAGACAAGGCAACAGAATCACACCCAATGGGAAAGACATCAAAACTGCGTTAGGTGCTCAACAGTCTGTGATGAACTGGGGAAAAAAGCCATCTATATATTCATCATAGGGAATAATCCTGATTTCGAATGAATCTGTTTACAGACTTTGTTGTCCTAGCCTGGCAAAGTGTTTCAGCATGAACTAAAATCTCAATAAGCATACTTTAGCTGTCTAAATGAAGACCTTTGTAGAAGTCACAGAAGAGACTAGAAGGTGCACCAAGAATGGCTCGCTAGTCTCTCACCAACGAGGGGATGAAAACGCTCTGCGTTTCCCATCTGGAATCCCACGATTACCAGCACTGCTCTGAAGAGTGTCTCCTATCTACGAAATGCTTTCCAGTGTCCTGTCATTTACTTCTCACTACTGCCCTATAGTTTCACCAACAAATATTAATAAAACACCCGGCACAGTGGCAAGAAAATGAGAGTATAAATGAATGCTGGTCCACTACTTGATAGGGCTTCTCAGTCCCTAGAAGAGGAGCTAATCAGTAGCAAAGGTGAACAGGACTTACAGGACAGACTTACTGGTAGAAAACTAAGGAAAATCGAGATTTTTTTTTTAACAGAAACCCAAGGAAAGCATTTTTTCTGCTATATGTTTCTCTAGCTTTTGTCAGAAATAAAAACAGAAAACATCTATTTTCAAATAACTATTATGTAATAAAAATTAAATCAGCACTACCTATGTTCTAGGCACACATATTTTACAAGGCAAATATAAAGCTCCTTCATGGCATAAAGCAGCCAAGTACTCCCAAGGGAAATACCGGTTCAAGGTAAGAGCTCTACCTCCAGACCACCATGCCTCTCCACCTTCCGTACCTTCTTCTTCAGTTCCACGCTGATGGCATTGGCCTCCTTCAGGTACACGGCATTGCCCCAGAGTGAGTCCCTTAGTGACGTAAACTGATGAGACTTCCACTTCCGGAAGGCCCACTGGGCCAACTCGAACTCATGCTGTGTCCACGCAACTGAAAGCACACGGAGCGTATTCAGTCAGGACCTCACATAGCCCTCCTGCACCTTAATGCTTTAGAAGTTAAGGTATTTTCCAGATTTATCTTTCAAGATTTTATCTATTTATTTGAAAGTCAGAGTTGCAGAGAAGGATGGAGAGAGAAAGAAATCTTCCATCAGATGATAAAATCATGAAAGATGGGGGTGGGGTTGATGGTGTGCCTTAGAAATTCCCAAGGTTTCTGAATACAGTCTTCTTCAGATGGCTGCTACGGCCAACCAGGCCAGGCTCAAGCCAGGGGCCAGGAGCTCCACACAGGTGTCTCACCTGGGTGGCACAGGCCTCTAACCACTTGGGCCATTCTCTGCTGCTTTTCCCAGGACGCTAGCAGTGAACTGGATCCAAAGTGGAGCAGCCAGGACATGAACTGACATCCATACGGGATGCCAGCATCACAGGCAGCATCTTAACCTGTTATACCACAATACTGACCTGCTTTTCTTCTCTTTAAAGGTTCACTGTATTCTGCTGACCTTATGAAGGTAGTATACACATTTCAGAAAACCTACAAAAGTCCTACTTATTTAAAACAGTGCATCAAAGAAATAGATTTCCTCTTCCTTTTCTGTTAAAGCTGTACTTCTAATGAGTGGTTATAATTAAAGAAAAGTAACCTCATTCCTTGATATGTTGTCCAACTTGATATATTTCTGTTTTTCTTTCTAGTATGGGGGGAAGGTCATGGTTCAATCAGATATTTAAAAATAAAGAATTTAAGAGGCAGGCATTGTGGTGTAGCAGGTTAGCTACCACTTGGTACACCTGTACCCTGTATCCCATATAGGCATGTTGGTTCGAGTCCTATCTACTGCACTTTTAATCTTCCTGCTCACGCATCTTGGGAGGCAGCAGATGATGGCTCAAATGCCTGGGCCCCTGCCACCCACGTGGGAGACCCAGATGGAGTTCCTGGCTCCTGGCTTTGGCCTGGCCCAGCTTTCACTGTTGTGGGCATTTGGAGAGTGAACAAGTGGATGCTGCTCTGCCTTTCGAATAGATTAAAGAAAACAAATCAACGTTTAAAAATAAAGGAAAACGGGGCTGGTGCTGTAGATAGGATAAAGCTGCCGCTTGTAGTGCTGGCATCCCATATGGGTGCCGGTTCAAGTCCCGGCTGCTCCTCTTCCAATCCAGCTCTCTGCTGTGGCCTGGGAAAGCAGCAGAAGATGGCCCAAGGCCTTAGGTCCCTGCACTCACATGGGAGACCTGGAAGAGGCTCCTATCATCGGATCAGCACAGCTCCAGCCATTGCAGCCAACTGGGGAGTGAACCAGCGGATGGAAGACTTCTCTCTCTCTCTCTCTGTCTCTCCTCTCTCTGTCTCTCCTTCTCTCTCTGTGTAACTCTTTCAAATAGATAAATCTTAAAAAAAAAAAAAAAGGAAAATTTAGTACATAAATTAAGAGTTCTTTCAGAGTTGATTTGAAGCCCACTGACTACAGAAATGAAATATGGTGAGTGTTTACTGTATCATAAGGTATTAACAATGAAAGCCCTACTTCAGCTAAGAAACTCCGGAGAATTTAAGAGAGGAGAGTAGAACTAAGTCATATGATCAGAAACCTGCCAGAAAGCACACTGGGGGTACATTTCAAAGTGCTCATACGTGAGAGAAATCTCTGATATACACTAGCAACCTGAACTGACCAGCTCAACGATTAAGCTCTTCATCTACTTGAAACACATATGAACTTCCTACTACAGTAACAGGACGCTGTATATGGAAACGTCCACAAGATCTACATGAAGAAGACTGTGCTCAGAAACCTTGCGAATTTCTAAGGCACACCATCAGCCTACTCCCACCTCCTTGGCTGCAACCTGGATTCCGAGTACTGAGTGCCTTTCAAATCAATTTCCATTGGCTACGGACAAGAAAGGACCAGCTCTGCTCACAGATAAAGAACTGATTTGGAAACAGGACTGGAAAGGTTGAAAGGGAGTTTCCATCTCTAGATTTCACCTTCTTCCTCCTCCTCTTCCTCCTCGGTTGTTTCTGCAGTCAGGGATCGGGTCTCCACCTGCTTCTGCAAGGCCTGCAGCTTACTTTCATAGTCCTGAGGGAAGAGAGAGGAGGTGACATGTAGGACAGAAAGGAACTAGCGCGAGGAGACGGAGATGAGAGAACCACTGGAGGAAGGAGGGGAAAAACAGGAAGAGGAGAGGAGAGGCGGGAAAACAGAAAAGGACAGGACGCAGAGCAGCGCTCGGAAACCACAACAGCACACGCCGGCACGTAATGGGGGAATGTCGCGGAAATCTGCTCCCAGCAGCAGCCTTGCTGTTTATATTCCCTCAAAGACCCAAGAGTTTTTAGTTGGCATTGCGGAAGGAGAAAGGGGGATTTTGAAGAGGAAAACAATGTGTCCCTAAGTGTTAAAAACGTTTAAGTGATACTGTACACATCAGAGAGTTCCGAGAATCACAACAATGGAGGCTGAATTCACCAGTACTGCAAAAAGTCCCGGTTATCTACCTGTTCGGGAGGGGACAATGAGGAATGTAGACTCTGGAGCTCCGCATGGGAATGAGGATCTCCGCAGCAGCACGGGAGGCGGGCCTTCGGGTGATGGAAAGCCTCACTGTGCTATCAGGATTGAAGTACTTTCCAGATCCCATGTGTTTAGGTCAGCAGAGATGGTTGGGATACTAACTTCCTATCTCACAGAAGGACCAACAGATGAACTACCTTTTATTTTTTTTTCCTGACAGGCAGAGTTAGACAGTGAGAGAGAGAGAGAAAGAGAGAAAGGTCTTCCTTCCGTTGGCTCACCCCCTACATGGCTGCTAGGGCCAGCACTGCGCCGATCCGAAGCCAGGAGCTAGGTGCTTCCTCCTGGTCTCCCATGTGGGTGCAGGGCCCAAGCACTTGGCCCATCCTCCACTGCCTTCCCGGGCCACAGCAGAGAGCTGGCCTGGAAGAGGAGCAACCGGGACAAAACCGGCACCCCAACCGGGACTAGAACCTGGAGTACCAGCGCCGCAGGCAGAGGATTAGCCTAGTGAGCCACAGCGGCGCCAGCCAGATGAACTACTTTAAAAACATGTGAAAGTCTTCTTAAATTATAACACACTATCAAAAATACAGGTAACATTTTAAGTTTATTTTGTAAGCATACCTAGCACCCAGATTTTGGTATCTTAATATCATTAGCCACTAAAAGGACCCAGGGATCCTTGGAAAAGAAGCTAATACCCCAGTTTCGAGTATGAAAAGTATAAGGTAAGCACAGAATATCTTGTGCCAGAAATGATGGCAGAACTCAAAGATCACTGTGGCCATTTCTAAAGGTCACAGGGTCCCATTGGTCAACAGATCAGAACATCAGAAAAAGCACATAGCACAATTCAGTAAAGAAAGGATCCAGGCGTCCACAGTGAACTGAAAGAAGACACACACAAAAAAGTTCATCTCTTCTGAACCAGTTAATAAAAGCAAAAGGACAACCATTGGAAAGCTAGCATACTACAACCCCAGATGTAGAAACTGAATCAAGCAAGGATCATTAATAAATACTCAAATAATCAAGCGAAAGGTAGATGCAAAACAGAATATTCACACAATCCAAAGTCCACTCCTGAGATCTACTAATAAGGACGGCAGTATATTTACAAGCATGAGAGTGGCAAACATCACATCAACCAAACTGAAACTTTAACACTGTCAATAGGACAAATTGGTATTTCTTATATATTGATGTGATACAATGGGAAGTACAAGTCACCTTTCTAGCATTCTTACCAAAACCTTTACCTTAATCTAAAATTGAGGAAACAAGGACACAAGAATATGTGCCTACAGTCTTCAAAAATATCAATGTAATAAAAGATTTAAAAAATCATAGGGGCAGGACCAGCATTGTGGCATAGCGGGTAAAGCTGATGCCTGGGACACTAGTATCCCATATGAGCACCAGTTCAAGACCTGCTAGTCTGCTTCCAATCTGATTCCGTGCTAACGTGCCTGGGAGGGCAGCAGAGGATGGCCCAAAAGTACCTGGGCCCCTCACTCATGTGGGAAACTCGGATGAAGCTTCAGGCTCCTTGCTTCGAACCTGGCACAGCCCTGACTATTTTGTCCATTTGGGGAGTGAACCAGTAGATGAAAGATATCTCCCCCCACCCCACCCCCTGTAACTTTGCATTTCAAGTAAGATGTCAGTTAGTACACCAAAGTGTATCTCCCATGGGAGTGCCTGGGTTTAGATTCCCAGCTCTGGATCTTAACTCCACCTTCTGGGAGGTAGCAGTGACGGCTCAAGTAGTTGGTTTCCTGCCACCAATGTGTTAGACCTGGCTCAGCTTCCAAGCTCCTGGCTTCACCTCCTCCCCACTCCCCGACCCTATAAGCCGTTCTGGGCATTTGGGGAGTGTACCAGTGGATGGGAATTCTTCTCCTCTCTCTTGAGTAAAACTTTAAAAAATGCTTTTAATACAATAATAACTAAATACAATGTATAAACCTCAAAGTGATCTTGGATTAAACTCACGCTTTTTTTATTTTATCTAAGATTAATCTATGGGGCTGGCACTGTGGTGCAGAAGGTTAAAGCCCCAGCCTGCAGTGCTGGCATCCCATATGGGCACTGGTTCGAGTCCCAGCTGCTCCTTTTCCGATTCAGCTCTCTGCTGTGGCCTGGGAAAGCAGCTGAAGATGGCCCAACTTCTTGGGCCCCTGTACCAGAGTGGGAGACCTGGAGGAGGCTCCTGGCTCCTGGCTTCGGATTGGCTCAGCTCTGGCCATTGTAGTCATTTGGGGAGTGAACCAACAGAATGGAAGACCTCTCTCTCTGGCTCTACCTCTCTCTCTGTAACTCTACTCTGCCTTTCAAGTTACAGAGAGAGAGGGGGAAAAGGAGAGAGAAAGAGGTCATCCATTTACTGATTCACTCCCCAAATGGCCTCAGTCGGGGCAAGGTCAGTCTGAAGCCAGGAACCAGAACCCCATCCAGGTCTCTTACATGGGTGGTGGGGTCCAAGTACTTGGACCATCTTCTGCTGCCTTCCCAGGAGCATTAGCAGGGAGCTAAACGGATATTCAGATACTATTGTTCTGTTCATTTTGTGGTGAAAACCAAGATAATTTGCAAAGTACACTAAAAAATCATGTATTTTTTTCAGTAGTCATTTATGTTTTTAAAAAGTCCTAACTAAGTATACCCCATATTTATAAAGGCACTGTACTAACTTCCCTCATCTGGAATGTTCTCTCCTTCCCACTCATTCTTGTTTTTAAATTTATTTTGTGTCAATATCTGTTCTTAATGTCAACATGGATTATCCCAATATTACCAATAACTCCATAAAGGTGGTACTATCATTAGGTTCCTGTTAAAGAGGAAGAAAAAGGCTTCAGCAAATTGTATAACTTTCCGGGGGTGGCAGAGTTAGCAAGTGGTGGAAATGGCATATGAACCCAGGCATACCAGAGTATACCTTTAAATCTATTATCCATCCATCCATGCATCCACCCACCTATCCAACAAATATCTTTTGGGCCCCTACTATGTATTTATGCTAGCAATATAGGCCACTAAGACAAGGTCCCACTGGCAAGGGAGGGAAAGATGACAAAGTATACATATGGTTTCAACACAGAGAACTCTGCAAAAAGACGGAGGAAGGTAAGCACTAGTGGCTAACGGAGAGGAGAGGAACAGGAGGAAGACAGATTAGGTGTTGAGAGAACATGTACGTAACTGAGGTCTTGGGGGAAATAGGGTTATTCTAACCAAAGTAACATCAGCAGCAAGCACAAAGATCCTGAGGTCAAAGGAGCCTCTGAGGGTTTACAAAAAAGCAAGAAAGCCTGTGGTGGTGCTGGTGGTGGTGGCGGCGATGGCGGTGGCGATGGTGATAGTGATGGTGGTGATGATAGTGATGGTGGTGGTGATGGTGGTGGCGGTGGTGATGGTGATAGTGATGGTGATGGTGGTGGTGGTGGTGATGGCGGTGGAGAGGGTGGAGATGGTGGTGGTGGTGATGGCGGTGGTGATAGTGATGGTGATGGTGGTGGTGGTGATAGTGATGGTGGTGATGGCGGTGGCAATGGTGGTGGTGGTGGTGGCGGTGATGGTGGTAGTGATGGTGGTGATGGCGGTGGTGGTGATGGTGATGGTGATAGGGATGGTGGTGGTGGTGATGGTGGTGATGGCGGTGGCGATGGTGGTGATGGTGATGGTGGTGATGATGGTGATGGTGATGGTAATGGTGGTGATAGTGATGGTGGTGGTGGTGGCGGTGGTGGTGATGGCGGCGGTGGTGGTGATGGTAATGGTGGTGATAGTGATGGTGGTGGTGGTGGCGGTGGTGGTGATGGCGGTGGCGATGGTGGTGGTGATAGTGATGGTGATGGTGGTGATGGTGGTGGCGGTGGTGGTGGTGGTACAGAGGAGTGGCAGAGCAACACAGGGAAGACATACAGTTGAGGCAGTCAGGAAGGGATACTGTAGGTTTTATTCTGAGGGAAGCCCCTGGGTAGCTTAGAGCTGGGAAGTGATATGGTCTACAGTATGTTTCACAAACACTATTCTTTGTGGGGATTAGGAGGAACTGTGGAAGCAGGGAGAGCCACCATAAGGCTGTCACAGTGGTGTCTAAGGGACATGGTGCTGCCTGGTCCAGGGAGTCAGCACCAAAGACAGCAAACACAAAATGGAGTTGCCACACCCTTCACAGCAGAGGAAAGGTATCTTTCAACGATGTGGCTGTGGGGCGTGAGGAAAGAAAGGGAGACACTGAGGAGGATTTGGACCGTTGGCCTGAGTTAATCGCTCTGGTTTAGAGAACTCGGCTGTTTGATGCCTCTTAGCTATTGGGGTACCGGATCGTAGTTACATGTCAGAGGCCAGGCTGGAGAGAGAACATTTAGAGTTAGTAGAGAAGCAAGGCAGGCCAGTGGTCTGCAGACAGACAAATTCCCTGAGACTGGACATGGCTCCCACTTCATAACCGAGTGACCCTGGGAAAGTCTGTAAGACAGGGTAACAGTATGTGCTATGAGGATACAGTGAGTTAATACATGTAAAAGGTTGATGTGTATAATATTTGTAATACA